CTTGTTGGACCAGTTGTGGACCAACAATACGACAGTATTGTTTTCTTTATGTTGATGTGTAAATCATACTGAAGCCTCAAATTCTGAAAAATTACTTTTGTAGGAGTATTCTAAACTATTCAGGTTCTTGAAATATATAACATTGATGAAAATATCTAAATATCGCTTACCTATCAGCTCTCAGTATTGTTCAGTACACCATGGGTAGAAACTGGTCTTACAGGAGACCACATCAAATAATAAAGAAGAATTTCAGTAAGATATGGAGAAAAACAGGGCTGGTTAGGGTGCCAAAACATTTGCTTTTTTTTTTTTTTTTTGTCATCACCACCTATAGCAATGGACATTCTTCCCCTCCCCCCATCTGGGTTCACAGGGTCATGACATTGGGAGAGGAAGTATCAGATTTGATAGATTCACAACGTGAGCATTCACTACATTCAAAGTGAGTTGGTATGGATTTTGTGTGGTTAGGTGGGGAGATGGAGTATATTAGTATGAGTATATTCTCTGGAGTGCTCCAAATTTCCCCATTCTTTCTGTGGCCATAGTAAACATTATCAATTATTAAATGAAATATCAATATTTGTCATGTTAAATTATATATTTGGTGTTTACTAATGAGTCTGGGATTGTTTCACAATTTAAAACAATGATTGGACATACCTAAATTATATCCACACAGAATTTGACCTTTGAGAATTACAATTTGTAGAATAACCAACTAGATTTCTTTTAGGAGCTCATAATAGGCCATAACATTTCTGCTTATCTTGCTCTAAAATCTTATTAGCATCAAAATAACAAATGACCCTTTATAATAGGTTTTCTTCTCCTGTGTTGGACTTTAAAATGGCTTTCTCTTTTCATAATAAGCTATTTGTGTTCACTTCATTTTGCTTCAGTCATTTTATTTTTGTCACCTTTGGTGCTATCTCAGTGTACTATAATGGAATGATGCTGATTCAGACAAGCTGTAATTTTTATTGCACGCATATCTCAAAACAAATTTATAAGCTGAACTTGATATCAGAAATGAAGATGATATCAAGGGAACATGCCTTCATTCTAAATTACAAAATACACCGCTGTTCTAAGTTTGAAGTCTGTTGAATATAATGTATTGAAATAAAAAACCTTTCTGATTTCAGGAAATTTACATGGGCAATATATTGATATTCCTTTAAATAATTTATTGTATACAAAATAGTTTTCACAAACTAAACTATTTTTGTTATAACATCAGATTGTAAAGCTATTACATTGAATGAAGCTATGTCACAAAATTCTCATTATATTAAAAACACCAACATTTCTTGAATTGTGATTTGGGTGCAAGTTTACAGAGCAAACTCATTTTCCATACAATAGTTTTGTATGCATTTGGTTTCATGACATTGACTACAATCCCCATAATGTAACAGCTCTCTGGCCACTTCCTCCCTCTGGTTACTCTTTCTCTGTGTCCTTCTTTCCTATGCATTCCTGACCTCTGTGCTATCTCTCCATCCAAATACTTCCCTTCTGGTCTCCCATAGTTGATTATTTTAAGGACTGTACTTACCTGGTGTAAATGTTCACCTCATACACCTGTGTATTGTTTGACTAGAAGCCACAGAAGTTAGTTCAATTCCAGCCCTGAAGGGTCACTAGGGGCCATAGTCTCAGGGGTTTCATAGTCGTAGTGCCTAAGGCATTTGACTGCTAACCAGAAGGCTGGCAGTTCAAACTCACCAGCCACTCCTTGGAAGAAAGATTGGGCAATCTACTTCTGTAGTGATACCACCTCAGAAACCCAAGGAGGGGTTGCTATGAGTCGGATCCAACTTGACAACAATTAGTTTGGTTTTGGTTTTGGTTTTGATCAGATCAGTAAGACTAGTCTTTTTTTTTTTCTTTTTATGATTTTGACTTTTGTTCCATGTTTTTCTCCCACTTTATCCAGGATTGCCTATTTTTATCCTTTTCCAGTTGGTTGACAGTGGTAGTCAGGTGTCATCTAGTTCTTTTGCTCGCACAATCATGTAGGCTGTGGTTCACATGGTCCTCTACTCCCTTGGACTAATTATTTCCATGCTTCTTTGATTTTCTTCATTGATCCTTGCCCCAGACAAGGAGAGACCAATTGTTACATCTTAGATGACCACTTGCAAGCTTTTAAGACTCCACTTGTTACTCACCAAAGTAGAATGTAGAACAATGATTTTGTGTAATGTTATGACAATTTAGCTTGATGTTCCCAGGACCATGATCCCAAGCCCATGGACCCAGTGACTTACTCCCTCAGGGAAAGCTGCCAAAATTTTATTTCATTTTTCTTATAAAATGCTAAAAGAGTGTATGTATTTAATAATATTTTACTAGTGTAACTATTTGAACCAAACTGTTATGAATGATTATATGTTAAGATACAGGCATAAAAATTTCACTCCTAGACTATGACCTCAACTCATCAAATTGAAACCTTCTGGATAGTTATAATCAAGATTACTATTGTCTCTGCTTTACTGAACAACTGCCAAGCAGCAACTGATCAATCTTATACTGGTAGGATTTCTGATGAACCTTGGCTTGAGCCTTCTACACCAATGACACCCATAACCTTCAGGTTCTTTCTGGTGCTAATTTTGTACAAGTACCTATCTCTGGCCCTTGTATTTATAAATATATAAATGTATATATTTTATATACAAATATATAATAAACGAAGTTAGCTAATCTAACCTGCATAGATACGACTCATTTTTCCCTCCTACATTACCACTCTAGGGACTCTTCCACTAAACACCAGGAAATACGTTAAAATATTAATATTTTAATGCAGTTTTGGAAGCACTGGTAAATGAGAAGTAAATTGATCTTTTGGAACACAGTTCTTACTGTCATAAGAAGGTAATTACAGTATGTCCCAGGAGCAAAGGGCTGGACCCTCTGCTTTTTTGCCTTCAGTTATTCATGTATATTGTCACATTAGTTTATCCTTCACAAATGGTAGAATTAGTGCAATACTTGTAGAATATTCCAGAATTTTTTTTTCTTTTTTCTTTGTAAAGACTACTTTTTCAAAGCATCATTTTATGCAGCAGGTATGTATAGCAAAAAGGAATTTTCATGGTAGTTGCCATAGGAGAAATTATATATATCAACAGTACAAAACTCAGTAAAATGCAGATTATTTTTTGCTGGAAGTTGCCATTAGAAATTGGTACGAACACTCTTTTAGTACACATAGCCCATAATTTACTGTTTGCAGTGTATTTGTGCACAGGATCGAGATTGATGACCTGCAAGAGTATTCCCAATAGCTTTGCCAATCCTAGTGTTGGTGCTAAAGACCTCCACAAAATCATTAGCAAATCCCATCTAGAAACAGACTGAAAGGTCAGGTAGATATAAGATGAGATTCATGGCCCATGGCTGTGGAGTGTTGTAAATATTTATTTCTGTTCAAAAAATTGTATAGTGCTTCATAGCATTTTCTTCCATCCCCAGAAGTTAGTGAGTTTCAAGGGTGCCAGCATTTGATTTTGAACAGTATGCCAAAGACATACCTTTGCTCATGAATATCAGTCATTACATTTGAACCCCTATTAACTTCAAAGGCGCTCTGGTAGCATAGTGCCTATGGCACTTGACTGATAACCAGAAGACTGGAGGTTCAAACCCACCAGCCACTCCTCAGAAGGAAGGTTGGGCAATCTACTTCCATAGTGATACTGCCTCAGAAACCCAAGGAGAGGTCTCTATGAGTCAAGTCTGACTCAACAGCACATAACAACAACAACATAATTCCAAGGGTTTCGAGTGAATTGATAATTAGTTTCCCAAATTAGAAAATACAGAGGTGGCTCAGAAACTCCTATTAAAAGAAAATGACCAACCACTAATCTAGAGATGGATAACCTGGGACAAGTAGGTATTATTTTAAGCAAAAGAAAGCTGAAAACAGGCTTGGCTCTCCTGGAGCACAAAATTTATTCTATTTAAATACAAATAAAACACACACACACACACACACACACACCCCTCTGAAGTAAGCACAGCAAAAGAAATAAGAGTCACCATCTTGCAGTGGAAAGAATATAGACTCTAGAGCTAGACAGACCTACATTTGAATCCTTACTGCATCCCTCACTAACTATAGCCCATGAGGAAGTGACTTATTCTACCAATGTAAATTTCCTCATTTGTAAAATGGATGCAATATTTCTGAACTTGAGGCATTGATGTGAAAATAATGTATGTCAATTGCCTGACATATATATAGTAGTCACTCAATAAATAATTTTCACAATCACTAACACATGTAATAGCATGTTGTTGTTGTTCTTTGCCATCGAGTCGGCCCCAACTTATAGTGACCCCTCCTTGGGTTTCTGAGGCAGCATCACTACGGAAGTAGGATAGCCCAACCTTCCTTCTGAGGATATGAAAACCAATAAAAGAAAACTAAGTGGAAAATTACAGTTGCCCAAAATATCATCATTAAATGCCCTAAATGTTAAGCCTTAAAAATTTATTAGCAGACACATGATTCCAAAAGATGCTGTTTATATAAACTGTAATTATTTTATAAAAAATATTTGAACTTTACTACCTAAAGGAATAATAGCAAAATTTATATAACATATTGAAGATTTTTAAAAATAATAAAATTATTATATGATTATCTAGAGACCTAATTTAATTTGTCTTTGCATTGATGACACTGTTAGAATTTCCCCTTTAATGAAGGCTCATGGAAAGATCATTTCCTTATGACTACAATCTTTTACCTTTTTTTCAGTGATGATTATGTATTCTCATACTTTGTATAAGTGCCATACACCCTAACAGTATTTCTCCTTGTAAATTCCATCTTAATAGTAGGAAATGGTAAAGTAAGAAAAGCAAGTTAATATCTTTCCGAATTAATATTGTGCTTTGACTGCTTTCATCTTTATTTCCAGTTAAAAAATTTCAGTACTCCCTTGTGTCTCTCTTCTCTCCCAATAATCAAGGTCTCTCCAGGACCTTTCCAAGCAAACAGATATCCCTTATGGCACTGTCCTGGACTCTGCAGTCTATGAGCATGTCCGCATGAAGGGAATGAATCCGTTCGAGAGGGACAGCATGTATTCTCAAATGTGGCGAATGATCAACCGGAGCAACGGATCAGAGAACAACGTTTTGGAGTCCCAAGCCGGCTTTCAAAAGGTATGGCTCTTCACTAATACTTTTTTGCAATGTTGTCCTCCATGTTGCAATCGCTGAGTTGAGATTTGTGATTTCCTGTTTTTCTTTAATTCTGAAATAGAGTTATGGTTAAATTGTACCTTCTAGTCATTTAAATAAGGTTTTGAGGAGACTCAGTGCACCAGTACAAGGAATTGAAAGTCCTCCGTGATGTGTCTAGCAGATCAGTTTCTAATGTAATTTCAAAATTTAGAAAAAATGAATTGACATTTTGTTCAGAAAAGGATCAAGGACTTACAAAAATGAGGATGGAAAAATTTTAAAAATCCCATTCCAAATATCTTTTAGGTTATCAGATTCTCCAGGAATTTTCTATAGTACATTTGTTTTTACATGAAAACCTTATGATTATGTAATACTGTCAAACAGTAAAAGTTAATCTTGTCAACAAATAGTTTTCCAGCAAATATCTGTTTCTATTTCCAAAAGTGAAAATCTTTATTTACATCTTATTTTTCTAGAACTGACACTTTATAAAAAAAGGCTTAGGTAATGGTCTTTTATGTGAAAAACTTCAGTTATTTTTCATTCATGGCTGCAGTATATTGACATATATACAGAACAAGTCTTTCTTCCTCAGGCCCTATCAGTGGCAGTGAAGAGAACTCAATGCATTTGGTTTTTGTTTAGAATTGTCTTCAGCAGCTTGCACAATGAACTGTGGTTGCCCTTCAATAAATTATTATGGAATGAATGAATGTGTGATGTCAATTACAGCAGCAATGGTGGTACAAATTACTTTTCTCTATGACCTTTCTCAGCATAATAATTTGGATCCCAAATCAGATTTCTATATTACGAAGTCAGACTCAAATAGTACTATGACAGAGAATGTTTTTTGTTGTTGTTGCTTTAAATATATATGTACATATATATATATATATATATATATATACACACACACACATATATATATACATATATATATATATTATATGATACATTTAAAATACTAGTCTGGCTACAAACAGTGGAGTACGTATGTCAATTCTGTTTAGTTTCCATTTTGAATATTTTATATAAGCAGCCAAAATTATAAACTCCAGCATTTTTTCCTTAATCTAGTCCTGCATGATTGCAATTCCTGAGCTAAACTTAGTGTCCATTGCCAACATCTTTGAATTCAAATCAAGGCTTCTGTGAAGAATTCAGATTTCCACATACAATATAATGACATTAATAATTTTAATCAGATTTTATGTATTTCATTTAAAAATGGAAATGGGCCCTTAATAATACTTTCACACACATAGATGTTTGTGTGTGTGTGTGTGTGTGTGTGTGTGTGAAAGTATTATTAAGGGCCCATTTCCATTTTATATATATATATATGGTTTTAGCCTGCCAACAGGGCCTCTCAAAGTCCTCTTGACTTGTAAAGTGTGGCTTAAGGGGATTACTTTAATAATTTTCTGTGTTCAGTAATCGTCAGAGAATCAACACACAAAATCAACACCCTGAAGAGAATGCCAGTTTCACTGACTGAAATCCTTAAATGTTGAAAACATTTAAGCTAAATGTTGTCAGTATACCAGTACCCATGCAAAATTATATTCTGAATATCCTCTAAGACTTTTTGCTAGTCAAGAGCTGTCTATTATATGAAAGTCAGATGTTTTCAGTGAAATGAGTTTGTAGTCACTACATTATAAAAAATTATTTAATAAATATCAGTGTAGCATTTTACAGAGAGCACTTTAAGAATTGTGACAATCGTTCTATTTCAAGAATACAACTGATGTTTAATAAGAGCCCAAATAAACAGGGGTTGGCCCTTTCATAGCTCATCTTGTCATTGCACAACTAAAGATAGTTAAACAATGCCATCTTTTAAAAGGTACTTTTAAGCCTGGTGAAACCACTGAGACTATGGCCCCTAGCTGCCCTTCAGATCTGGGATTGAACCCACACCTGTGGTTTCCAGTCAAACAAAGAACAGGCAAGTGAGTTAAACATTTACCTCAAGTAGACACACACCCTGGAGAGAACAATCATGGGAGAAGGAAGGGCTGTTTATGCACAGGGAGACAGCTCAGGGCGCAGAAGAGTATGGAGGGATGGACACTGGGGTAACTATGGGGAGGAAGTGGGAGGGGAGCTGTTGCATTGTAAATTTTGGTCAATGACATGAGACAAAGTATATGTGAACTGCTGTATGAAAAGTGAATTTACTCTGTAAATCTTCACCCAAATCAAAATAAAATTAAAAAAAAAAAAAGGTACTTTTAAATATTTCTCCCAAAGTCAATCTCATGTTTATTTCAGATTCTTTATATAATAAAGTCAACTATTTCTTTCCCTCACATCAAAATTAAAAGAATTATTTCCCCCTCTACCTTTTAATTAAATCTTCCAGTAGAACCAAAATGGTCTAAGGAAATAAAAAGTGCATTGTTATCTACTTTAAAAGTTCCACTTTAGACAATAGTTCAGACATTTGAACCTAATTGTAAATGGTTATGTGAAAATAACTAGTACAAAAGATCAAACTTTACAGAAATTATCATTTTTTAGTATTCTTCTTTTAAATGTTATTTATAAACTGACTTTTCCTATAAATAATGCTAGCTGAAAGAAATTCAGACCCAATGGCTATACAGACCTATATTTAAAAAAAAAAAAGAATGAGCCAGGTACAAAAAGCCCTTTCATATCTCCCAAATTTGTTATTGTTGTTAGGAAAGTTTAAAACACTTCAGAAAAAGAACACATTTTATATCACGTCAAAAGCAATAAGCCAGATGACAGGTGGCTTTTATTAACAAATGAAGAAAAACATGAAGGCCTAAGTTTTGACAGAAACTCAAATTTCTGAGAAATACACATATTTGTGGTACATTTTGGTAGCATTAGGACAATAAATAAACTATTTAATACATATAATTTTAAGACAAAAGTGGCCCAAATGGAAATGTCATCTCTTTATTGCTTGAGAAACATGAAGTTATTAAATATTAATGTTTCCCCTCCCCCTTTCCTAGGTGATCATACTGTGTTATCCTTTGGTTCTTCAAATGAATTCAGTTCCCAAATGAGAAATTATCTCTCCAACGGAACTATAGGTTCACCAGATTCTGCTAAAAGAACAGAGCATGTACACTTATATTTGTTGAGTTACAAATAGACCAGAAATAATTAATTAATGAGAAGGTTTTCATGAAACAGTAGGAGGAGGTTCATGGTCATCATCTAGGACATTAAAATCTTTCATTTTAATTCTTGCTTTTAAATCCCCTAAACACTTCCCCTCCCATACCAAGGTAGCTTTAAAATAGCTTTCAGCTCAGTGATAATCACTGTCATAGATTGAATTGTGTTCCCCAAAAATACGTGTCAACTTGGCTAGGCTATGATTCCCAGTATTGTGTGGTTGCACTCCATTCTGTGGTCTGGTGTAATTGTTCTCCATTTTGTGGTGTGTTGTAAATCCTACTCTATATGTTAATGATGAAGGATTAATGAAGGGTGTATCATCAGTCACCATCCCTACTCAAGTCACCATCCTTACTCAAGTCATACCTTTACTCAAGCCACTAACTTATTTAAGTCACACCCTTGTTTGAATCATACCTTTTATCTTACAAGAGATAAAAGGAGAGAGAAGCAAGCAGAGAGGAAAAGGACCTCACTATCACCAAGAAAAAAAGAGCTGGACATGGGGAGCATCTTTTGGACTCTGGGTCCCAGCACTGAGAACCCCTTGATCAAGAGCAAGATTGATGATGCTACATATGGAGATCTCCAAAGAACCAGGAATATTTCTCCTCAAGCCAGCAACATGAATTAAGAATTTTAGCCTCCTAAACTGTGAGAAAATTAATTTCTCTTAAGGCCCATCCACTCATGGTATCTCTGTTGTAGCAGCACAAGGTAACTGAGACTGTCATGATTTTCCAATGGCCACCTCTAGAGAATGTTTTAGTGGTTATAAAAAGTATTCAGCCCCAGATTCCACCATTATTCTCCACCTTCTTATATGGTATCCTTGATTTGCTACTGCTGTTGCTAGAACCAGTCCTCTTACATCAGCCTAATAACTCTAGCAGTCATGGAATTGATAACTGATTTTGAGAAATGATGACATGGATGTAAAGTATCTCAATAGCTACTTATGATACCCTTAAGGAAAGGAATGTCCTTGAAATGTTAGCTATGGCCTCTAACTCTTTCACCCTCATTTCACTAACCTCAGTTTCCCAGACTCTGGATATTGATCCTAAAGTGTTCCTTTCTTAGTTTTTCCCAGAAGTCCATTGACTCATGAAGTTAATGTCCTCTAAATACTGAGATTGAAGGGAACATGTGTTGAGGGGAAAAGATGGCTGACATTTTAGTGTTTATTAACTATCCAAGGGATGGACTGGACTTGAGCCTTAGACTAAGTGTGTTAAAAGGTACTTGGAAGATTTATTTTCTTTCATATTGTTTATTGTTAAAAATAAATTTGATTTTTTAAGGATTAATGTAAATCCATAGTTTATATGTCAATTTCAATTTAGGACAAAGCTCCCAAAGTTTACAACCTCTTCTTTTATAGTATTATTCCAGAGAAATTTGATGTTCTTTTCTCCCAACAGACATACATGTTCCCAATAAAATATTTTTGAAACAAACATCCATGTTCACTCATTAGTGAATTAAGTCATTAGTTTATATATTTATCAAATATTTGCTAAGTATCGACTCTATACCAAAAAGTCAAATTCATTGCCATCATGTCTATTCCAACTCATAATGATCCTGTTAGGAGAGCGTAGAACTGCCCTGTAGAGTTTCCAAGGTTGTAAATCCTTATGGAAACAGACTGCTACATCTTTCTCCTGTGGAGAGGTTGGTGAGTTCAAACTCCCCACTTTTGGTTAGCAGCCAAGAGCTTTAACCACTGTGCCATCAGAGCTCCTTATATACCAGACATTTATCTAGAAACTGGAAATAATTGTCACTAGGTTCTTCACATATAG